GTAGGAGCCCCTCCGGAGTCTGCACACCCCCCAGCGAGCGCAGTCGACTATGTTATGTTTATGGATCGGTTTGCACGCCGCACAGGTACTGTACAGTGCTGAGTGATTGAGTGTGCTGAGTATTGAGCACAGTAAGAGATAATGTTAGACAGTAAGGTTAAGCACCTGAGAGTGTGAGTACATGATTTCATCACTGAGAGGCATTGCATTTGACATACGCACTTAAGATACATGCATAGAGATGCATTTTTCTTTTGCTACCCGGTTTTGGTAACATTCACGATTTTTACCTGTATCTTGACATGTAGGCATAAAGATGTACTTTCCTCATGCTATCTGAAAATGAAACAGTTACCTAATGAAAAGTCTTGGGAAAAAGTTACAGTTTTCAAACTTACTCCTATTTTGACGATTTCGATAAAGGATCTGGATTTTCACTGATATACTTAAAAAGCGGTACCCTTTCCCACCCCGTTAAGGTATTGGAGCGCGGAATGGTATCGTTTGCCTATCGCATGCTATTACCCGTCCCAAGCTATCAGTCCCGGGGCATTAGGACTACTAATCCTAAAAGGGGGAGAAAAGGATGGGGGTCTTTATGGAGTTGTAAAGGACAAAAATTCTAATCGACATTCAAAAACAAGTAACAAGTAGGGGGAATGAACAGACAAACAGGTAAGGCTCACATAAACCCCGTAAATCAGATAACATATAGTTTAGCATGCCTTTACATATACTGATTTAGTCTTNAAATCTCGATTATACCAATTCAGGTTTTTCATCTAAAACCCTTGATTTTCCTAAATTTTCACATGTTAATCTACCCATAATCTATGTATTTAACTTATGATGTGTAGAAATTACTTACCTCTTTGATGATGATGGAATCCCTCCTCAGATGCTCTCAAAAGTCGCCTAAGGCAAAGTGGGAAATGAGGGAAATGGGCTAAGTCTCGGAATAAAAAGCCACAGCTCCAGACGCAGAAGTCGCATTTGCGACTCCAGGCTCGCAATTGCGATGTCGCAATTGCGACAATTGCATCGCAAATGCGAAGCCTAGTCCACCCTGTCCTGGTCGCATTTGCGACAATTTCCTTCGCAATTGCGAATGTGACAGCCTCGAAAAATCGAATCCCTCGTTCGCAAATGCGAACTTCCCCCTAGAAGCCCAGGCTCGAAAATGCGAACGGGACCTCGCAAATGCGAGGTCGCATCTGCGACCAATGCAACGCAAATGCGATCATACCAGTACCAGCAATCCTATTTCTTAGCAAATCACTCCGAAGCTATCGCGAATCACACCCGAGCCCCCGGGGCTCCAAACCAAACACTTGCACAAGTCTAAAAACATAATACGGACTTGCTCGAAGTCTCAAATCACACCAAACAACGCTAGAACCATGAATCGCGCCCCAATCCAAGCTTAATGAACTTTGAAGTTTCCAACTTCCACTTTCGATGTTTAAACCTATCAAATCATGTCCGATTGACTTCAAATTTTGGACACCAGTCATATTCGACATCACGGACCTACTCCAACTTCCGGAATCGGATTCCAACCCCGATATCAAAAAGTCCACTTCTGGTCAAACTTCTCAAAAACCTTCAAATTCTACCTTTAGCTAAATGGCTCCAAAATGACCTACGGACCTCCGAATTCAATTCCGATCGCGCTCCCAACTACAGAATCACCATACGGAGCTATTCACAGAGTCGGAATTCCAAATGGACATCGATAACACTGAAATGCACTTCAAGCCAAACTTATGAAATTTCTTCCAAAATGCTAACTTCCACAATAGGCGTCAAAACGCTTCTGGGTTATCCAAAACCCGAATCGGGCATACGCCCAAGTCCGAAATCATCATACGAACCTGCTGGAACCTTCAGATCCCGATTCCGAGGTCGTTTACTCAAAAATCCGATCTTAGCTAATTCTTACAACTTAAAGCTTCTGAAATGAGAATTTTCTTTCCGAATCAACTCCGAATTTCCCGAAATTCAATTCCGACCATGCGTACAAGTCATAACACCTGAAATGAAGCTGCTCATGGCCTCAGACTGCTTAACGACGCACTAGGGCTCAAAACGACCGGTCGGGTTGTTACATTCTCTCCCACTTAAACATACGTTCGTCTTCGAACGTGCTGAGAACTACACTGAAGTAGTCTGAAATCACTGTTTAACTCCTCATACAGCTTCCCGTGCTACCACAACTCAGTTGAGCACATTAGCTCGATAAATTCTGAAGATATTCCCTTTATTCAAGCAAATAAGCCTTAGAGCCTAATTCCAACATCCAAAATTCTATGCCCGATCTGTTTCCAACATACGCTCACCATATCAACATCTACACGCAACACCAAAACACGGCTGCTTACCTTAGCTGAATTTACCCCTCGCACCATTTTTTCATAGGACCACAATAACATTCTCTGATCAACTTAGTCGAAATTCCATGACTCTGATGCTCACAACACACCTCATGATATGCATAGCTCTTACTCTAACTCTTACAATACCGCCACGACGGAAGATAGGCGTAGAATTTCATAACCAATTGCTGAATCAACAAATCATTGGGTCTATACTCCTGACAAGAACCCTCACCTCACTCTGAACCGAATAATGGTCTTGGTTCCTTAATATACTTCATATACTCAGATTACACTGATCTCGAATTCAATGATCTCGTCTCACCCAGTACGAACTGCTCTGGCAATAAGCCACCCCGACATGACCAAAAGTCCCTATGATGCTACAATGTGCCAATAGGCTACCATATCGAACGCGATATAAAGGAAAGCAAACTTTGAGAAGGAAATTCAACTACACCGCTCGCGAATTATACATGCGACGCGGTCGAGTTAATTAAACAAACACCCCGCTAGCGAATCATAAATGCGACGCGGGCACACAACTAATATAAGCTTTCCTCGTAAAATAGGAAACAAAACACATCAAAACAGATACGGGGAACTGTACTCAGCTTCACACTGTTGCGGCGCGCAACCCGATCCGAAGAACATAACCATGGCGGCGTGCCACCCGATCCACCCATAAAACTCGCATAAGGAGATACGCACCGAGCTAGATTGCTCATTTCAATAATATACCGAATATTGGTCACAAGCACACTAAGTGCATAACTCCATCCCTGGGGAGACATATAGCGCCAGAAGCCACAAAACTCAAGCACAACTGAGGTGCGATATACGATTTGAAATCTCAAAAGCCATCCTGCTCATATAACATCATCTCTACGCGGATCCTCAACACATAAGCAATTTCTCAAGCCGCCTCCCAACTCACACGGCGCAACGTATCACTACATGAAATATCCGACAACAAAATAACACCTTGACAACTCCTCCACAAGGAGCGCATTACTGAATTGAACACGTTTGGCCTGATATAGAGCCCATATTCACATTTGAATCCATCCACCAACCTCAAGCCGATTCTGATCGCATTGAACTAGGCTAATTACCTTTCAAAGGTCCATAATAACTCCTCTTCCGCTCATAACACGTAAGAACATCCATCATACTCGGATAAATTATCCGCAGTCCACCACTCAATAGACTGAGTGCCCTCCAGGCATATATTCTCAAATCAACGATATTATCGCAACCTTCATACTTGGCTTAAGTCTTTAATCAATCAAGTGACTACCTGCCACACTCATATAATCTTCCTATGAGACATACTCCCACAACCTACCATAACAAATAACTGGGTCATACCTCCAAACCATTGGCCGCACTAATGCTGAAAAGCGATCAAGAATCATTAACCAGGATGCAAAGCCCTTTTTATACAAAACACCGATCTCAGGTGACGCTAAAGACAATACCAACTTACCTTAAACATCGAAACTTCTTTCCTGCTCATCCGAGCTCGTGACATCCTTGTCAACACCGAACTGCTACCTTGATCTTCACTTCAAATTCCATACCACTCACTGCACCCAACATGCCGATATACGATAGAACTCGTTTTTCATCATAGCTTTGGAACCACTGTTAGATTAACACTTCATCATATAAAACTTTCCATTTAACTCACTTCAGGAGGACCATAGCAACACACAGGTTAATTCTCATGACCGTGTAAATATGCAAATCTCTAAGTAGTGGTCTAAGCCACCATAGCCCTTCCGTGATCCGCCTACACATAACAGGCCATAAAACTAGAGTACTTTCTAAATATCACCAACTACGGCGGCCGACAAGCCTCGCACGCACCGCCACATTTCACTAGCATAACTCGATCACGCTGAAAGAACTGCTCACTACCAGCAACACGCCAATTCGACTATGGCTACCCAATCCCTCTTCTTCCAATTTATCCTTAATTGCCATAGAAACAATGATAATTCCATTCAACACTTAACACACTCCATCCGCACTCATCCCGAGTGACCCTGAATCACGAGACCATGCTGTCTCAAATCCCACGAACCATTTTGTACCTCCCAATTGCTACATCGCAAGCCAAAACATCATAGAACATTCTGTGCCTCTTCTCATAGGCTGCTATCAAGTTTGATTCTTAACTCTACCTATAGGCTTGAATCATTAGGCATCACACTTTAACTTTTGAATTCACTAGGACCGTTGTTGAGAGCCACCCACTCTGACTTGGCCCCAAATATACTCAACTCCATGAGTCTTCTATCACATGAATACCCTCTTGGTGGAGCACCTTGCAGAATCACTTCCCTTGGACCCCACATCTATACGAAGCACAAATCCTGAATCCTTTCCAAATCTGAACATGAGCCAATAAGACCAATCATAGCACACCTTTAACAATCCCTTTGCTCAAATTCGCACCTAAGCTCTTTTCCCGTGGCTGAAATAACCCATCAACATGCTGATAACCAGAAACTTGCAAGTAGTTAACCATGCAACCCAATCATAGGCAGTGGGGCTCTCCCACTTAGCTCGAAGCCACTATTACACAACTCTAGAGTTCATCAGGATTCTTAATCTCTTATTGACATAATCTTGCGCAATCACTCGCCAACATTCTCGATATCTTACTGTAGAAACCCCCTTTTTATACTCTGAATCATCAACAACATTCGCACGATCAATCCCTTCGCTGTATAACCAATAGAATTCTTCGCAGAAGCCTCGCCAACCACACGACCGCTAACCTGCTCACAGGAATAACCTACCTGTAGAAATCACTGCCCAACATCTTCCAGCGCTGCTACACGGGGTACAATAACTACGACATCAATAACCCATCCCGAGTCCGAGCTCACTCTCTAGCTGCACAAGTCCATTCGCCCCTCGTGGACATCAATTAAATGTGCGGAAACATTCTTCCAATTCAAAGTTATATTGCATCCTTCTTCATTCAATCAGCTCCTTCCCGTTATATCAAATCTCCTGCCGCATAATAGCCCATACTTCAAATTAATTCGTTGGCCCAAGTCACCAATCACTAAAATTTCCCCAAATCACTCCAAACTCTTATTAAGGTTCATAGTCACCCTACCACAATGCCCATATGCAACTCCGCCACTCTCCCACTTTGGCGGAACTCATCCCTTTAATCGACTACTCGACCCTTGGCCCCTTATACTCAGTCTTCTAGAAATTTTTAGCCACCGCCTGACACTTCCCATAGGTCTATCCTCATCCTTTGCTGCTCAGTTGTTGCCTTAAATAAAATCTATCTTTGTAGCACTTGTACCCACCATTGCTACTAACTTTAAACCTTTCTGAAGATCATCTTTCTCGAGCCGTCGACATTAGAAACACCGATTCAATCCTTAACTACCGCACCCTGCGATATCTGACAGCCGCGTTTTCAATACTATTTCACCATAGCTTGGCCCAAAGGCGAATTGCAGAAGACCATAACACCGGCGAACTTAACACATACAATTGAGGACGGCAATACCACATTGCAGATGAAGATTACACCACACTTGAAAATACCCAGCCTCGCTACTCCATTAACCCAAATCTGAACATTCTTAGCCCGATTGCCTTTCCCCTGTCAGGAATAAAATACTGATTCTCTAGATTATGTACTGAGTAAACCTTCCTTCAAGTCATTCAATGCCCCGACACGTAGGCAAATGTCCTACCATCATATCAATACTGCGGAACAATAGTTTATAGCATCATGGCAACTTGTGCCAAGCCTTAGAGCCCTCAGAAGTACCGCTACTGGGCTGAAACAATAAAATATCCTTTTACAAAGCGACGATAATAATCCGATCAGCTATACCGGGAGAAACATCCCGTATCATATCTGTAGTACCATTACTGTTCTTAAATTCTCGATTTATAACAAGCGGTTCGCGCCGCGTAAGATTGAGTAGGAATGAATTAAAGGCATACGCCTCCAAGGATCAAATCGCACGATAAGGAATCAAGAAGGGAAGTACTCCTAACAGTCCTGCAACCTCCCGAGGATAAGTGCAGACGTCTCCGTACCGATCCGCGAGACTCTACTAGACTTGCTCATGACTCGTGAGACCCTAGGAACCTAGTGCTCTGATACCATGTTGTCATGACCCAAAATCCACTAAGGGTCGTGGTGGCGCCGGACACCGTTGTCAGGCAAGCCAACTAAAATACTTAATTAGATTCCAATTTTTAACAATTTTGAAAACTAAGATTTTCCTTTAAATTTCATAAGTAAAAAGATAACTGCTTCAATTCAATATAAATACTAAGCAATCAATACAAAATATTTCAAAACCATCCTAGAACGCGGTGTCACAAGTGCATGAGCAATTTCTAAGAAATAATATAATACAACAACCGTCCGGAATATAATATTGGACAGGAAATAAATACAGATAACTGAAAGAGACTTTACTGGCTGCGGGTCGCCTCGAGAAGTGCAGCTCACCTAAGTCTCCATATCAACCATGCTGCTACGGCCAGTAGGCCGCTAGAGTTACATATACATGTGCAACAAAAATGCACAGAAGTATAGTATGAGTACGAAAATAACGTGTACTCAATGAGTATCCCGTCTAATCTCGAAGAAGTAGAGACGAGATAGTCAACTTCGACACTTACTAGTGGTCCAATAATGATATATCAAATATATGCTAAATCGTGGATTTTTATGAACATGATTATAATTCGATAGGTTGAAGCAAATAAACAATTCCTCCTTTTATAGGAAACTTCCAAATTCCTTTTTATCATTTATACAATTATTCTCAAGCCAGAAAGAGGCTATAACAACTTTAATAAGTTCCAAGGCAAGCAATACAAGCATTTCGCAAATCATGCCGAGGCGTACGACCTGCTCCAACAGAAAATAAACTGTGCACTGCCGAGGGTTGAACGACGCGAACCATAGATGCATCTATTACCCCGCTCGCGAACTATCCATGAGACGCGGTCAACATAAAAATAGACAATCACCCTGCTCGCGAATCATACATGCGACGCAGATACATATAGAAATGCATGCTCAAATAGCCAATTAAGAATTTATCGGGGAATGTTTATTCAAATAAAAGACCCTTTCTCTTTCAACAATTTAAGAAAAGAAGTTTAATACTTTTTGAAATTTATTTATTAATTCGATATGGTTTAAGCAATTCGAGCTGTCAATAAGTTTACAATTAATCCAAGTATAGCATGCTTTTGGGTCCTAGACTACCCGGACAATAGCATAATAGTAGCTACGCACGGACTCTCGTCACCTCGTGCGTACGTAGCCCCCACAAATAGGAGAACATAACCGATTAATTCACCTATGGGGACAATTCCCTCTTACATGGTTAGAAAGGAGACTCACCTCGCTCCGAAGCCTATATTCCGATTCAAGAACGCGCCCAAACCTCCACATTCGGAGCCGAACACTCCAAAACTATTCAAATAGGGTAGGAACTAGTCAATACATGCTCAAAAGTTCATATTCTACTTATTAAACCAATTTCCCAACTTTAAATGCAAGGTTCCTAATATTCATTCCCAGGCCCACGCGCCCAGATTATGGAAATGTTTGAAGAAAATTGTTACCCATAACCTAAGGATCAAGAATATATGATTTTTACTTCATTCCCTAACAATTTTCGTGGTCAAATCTCGTTTATACCAAATTCTAGGTTTTTCATCTAAAACCCTTGATTTTCCTAAATTTTCACATGTTAATCTACCCATAATCTATGTATTTGACTTATGATGTGTAGAAATTACTTACCTCTTTGATGATGATGGAATCCCTCCTCAGATGCTCTCAAAAGTCGCCTAAGGCCAAGTGGGAAATGAGGGAAATGGGGTAAGTCTCGGAATAAAAAGCCACAGCTCCAGACGCAGAAGTCGCATTTGCGACTCCAGGCTCGTAATTGCGATGTCGCATTTGCGACAATTGCATCGCCAATGCGAAGCCTAGCCCACCCTGTCCTGGTCGCATTTGCGACAATTTCCTTCACAATTGCGAAGGTGACAGCCTCGCAAAATCGAATCCCTCATTCGCAAATGCGAACTTCCCCCTAGAAGCCCAGGCTTGCAAATGCGAACGGGACCTCGCAAAAGCGAGGTCGCAATTGCGACCAATGCATCGCAAATGCGATCATACCAGTACCAAAAATCCTATTTCTTAGCAAATCACTCCGAAGCTATCCCGAATCACACCCGAGCCCCCTGGGGCTCCAAACCAAACACTCGCACAAGTCTAAAAACATAATACGAACTTGCTCGAAGTATCAAATCACACCAAACAACGCTAGAACCATGAATCACGCCCCAATCAAAGCTTAATGAACTTTGAAGTTTCCAACTTCCACTTTCGATGTTTAAACCTATCAAATCATGTCCGATTGACTTCAAATTTTGCACACCAGTCATATTCGACATCACGGACCTACTCCAACTTCCGGAATTGGATTCCGACCCCGATATCAAAAAATCCACTTCCGGTCAAACTTCTCAAAAACCTTCAAATTCTACCTTTAGCTAAATGGCTCCAAAATGACCTACGGACCTCCGAATTCACTTTCGATCGCGCTCCTAACTCCAGAATCACCATACGGAGCTATTGACAGACTCGGAATTCCAAACGGACATCGATAACACTGAAATGCACTTCAAGCCAAACTTATGAAAATTCTTCTAAAATGCTAACCTCCACAATAGGCGTCAAAACGCTTCCGGGTTATCCAAAACCTTAACGGGGAATACGCCCAAGTCCGAAATCATCATACGAACCTGCTGGAACCTTTAGATCCTAATTTCAAGGTCGTTTACTCAAAAATCCGATCTTAGCTAATTCTTACAACTTAAAGCTTCTGAAATGAGAATTTTCTTTCCGAATCAACTCCGAATTTCCCGAAATTCAATTCCGACAACGCGTACAAGTCATAACACCTGAAATGAAGCTGCTCATGGNACCCTTCTGGAATAAGTATTCAGCTGCTTGTGAACCTTCGGGTACTGTTTTATTCAATGTTTGTTCAATTACTCTTTTACCTGCAAATGCAATGTAGGCATTGGGTTCGGCAATAATGATATCCCCCAACATACCAAAACTAGCTGTCACTCCACCAGTTGTCGGAGATGTAAGGATTGATACATAAAATAACTTTTTATTTAATTGATAATCATATAAAGCAGACGATATTTTAGCCATTTGCATCAAGCTCAAACTTCCTTCCTGCATGCGCGCCCCCCCAGAAGCACACACTATAATAAGGGGTAAAATTTGATTGGCAGCGTGTTCAATCAAACGGGTGATTTTCTCTCCGACTACGGATCCCATACTACCCCCCATAAACTGAAAATCCATAACCCCAATTGCTATGGGAATGCCGTTTAGTTGGCCTATGCCTGTTTGAACAGCCTCGGTTAATCCTGTCTTTCTTTGATAAGAATCAATACGATCTTTATAAGGCTCCTCCTCCGAATGAAATTCAATGGGATCCAGAGAGACCATGTCTTCATCCATAGGATCCCAAGTACCCGGATCGATCAAAAGTTCAATTCTATCTGAACTACTCATTTTCAAATGATATCCACATTGTTCACAAATATTCATTTTTGATTTCAAAAATTTCTTATAATTTAATCCATAACAATTTTCGCATTGAACCCACAAATGCCTGTATTTTTGAGTTACCTCGAGATCATTAGAACTTTCTCTTATAGTTAAATCACTGCCCTTCGTGCGAGTTCGTCTACTGGAACCCTCATTTTCACTACTATTTCGACTTTCACCACCACAACTACTATTTCGACTTTCACCACCACAAATGGCCCTATAAATGTAACTGTCACCGTAATTCTCACTACCACTTATAATGGAAGTATCTATACAGAGTTGAGACTGAAGATAACTATCAATGCAACTATTAATGTGATTATTCCAACTATATTGAGTATCATACATGTAAGAATTATAGTAGGGATCTTCGCCCCTAAATCCATTATTCAGATAATTCGAGTTTCGATAACTATAAAAAGAACTTTCTAGTTCACTCAGAAAAGAATGATCGTTGTCAATCTCAAAAATCTGATTTTCAATATCAAAATAGATGGAATAACTGTCTCCATTCCTATCACTAACTAAAAAAGTGTCATCAGAGATGAAATTCCGAATGTCTTTAACGCCGAATAAATAATCAACATTACTGCAACTAGAATTGTCACGATTCCTCCAACTATGAATGTTTTTCACTTTTCGATTTGGATCTTCATTGGTATTTTCAATAGGACCAAGACTGTCCATTGATTTATTTAGCCCATACCTGCGTTCGAACTCCTTCTTAAACAACATCGAATTAAACCACCATCTTTTCATAGAGTTTTCTTGCCCCCTATTTGCATGAAAATACAATAGATGAACAGTCATTCGCTATAAAATTATTTATTTGAATATCTTATTTCTATCAGACTAAGCATAGAAATCCAATCACTAGGATTATTAACTAATAAGGATTGTGAGTATTAAAAAAAAGTTAAAACAATTTCATAAAGTGTCACTCCACACAAATTGTCTCTTCGCCACCTACCCCACCCCTTCCTCACCCCTTATATAGCAGCCTGATTTTTTTAATGTTTTTAAGGATCATTAAATGGTTATCAATCGCTAAACGCATCGTTTACATGCTAATTGATGGTATACATTATACCGTAGAAACAAATAGCCCGTATCACCTGCATATAATATAGATAACACATAACAACATATTTTAATCAAACATAAAATCGATACTTGTCTCTTGAAGCGTGATCGCGATCGCGAGAAGAGCCTCCAAGGGTGAGCAACGAGACCATTCTCCATCTCCATGATCTTCTACTATGTTACCCAAATAGTACTAGGAATCTACAAAATTCATGTGGTCAAATTTTCTCCATGGAAAAACGTATATCGAAACGTAGCCTCCTTGATGGAATAAAACCCTTTATATAGTCACAAGTTTTGAGTATAAAACAATTTCCTAAACCTGCTGGGTCTTCCTTTTCCACCACGAAATAGGATCCCATTTAATTCATAACTATTCAGTCACAACAAGGACCACATAATTTAATTAACAAAGCTTCCCATTATAGACTTAATTCAAAATATTTGAATTAAATACTGCCATACTAAATTATGAAGTATTTCATTAAAAATTCATAATTGCACTCCTCAGTTCAATTCCGAAATTCTTCCATTAAACCTTATTTAACTCCCATATTTAACGGTGGATGATTCTGATTCTTGCAAATCTCCATGTTTACCGTGAAAATGGTAACAACAACTAAATTTATTAAATGGGACTCTAAAAATACGTGATCTATTCCCCAGCTAGTTTGTTAGAGCAGATGATGCTAGTATTATGAATTTTAACGATGGAGGGGGAGATAAAATGAGGTAACGAGCGAATCAAAGGGTCTGCTACCCAGGCGTAAGCTTGGTCGATTGGGACTTCGAGGTCGACCTCGGGGTCGAGCTCGAGTTGTCGGGAATATTCGGGAGTAATCTAACAGCTAGAAATATAATCAAATGAAGCTATTTACGACCGAAATTAAGTTTGTACGATGAAGAACACATATAGAGTGAAGAACACGTATAGAGACAAAGGATATCAAGGTATCCTCAGTATCAGTGAGAACCAATGAGCTTTAGTAAGAAAAGAGAGAGAGAGAGAGAGAGAGAGAGAGAGAGAGAGAGAGAGAGAGAGAGATATTATTGCACTTTGTAGAATAGTGGGGAGCAACATCAGTCCTTTACAAGTTTGGATGAGTCCCTTTTATATAGGAGAGGAAACTCGGGATACATGTATATTTAATTCATAAAGTATAAAGATGTGACAGCTTGACTCGACACCCCAGCGTAGGCTAGGGGTAGGTCGGTCCTGTCAGACTCAACCGCTTGCCTTGGGGGTTTCCATTCTTTATCCCGATCTCAGCCTCGAATCAGGTCTCGATAGGCCCGAAGATAAGGACTAAACTGTGAATTTGTATCCTCGAGGTCTCGAGATATCTTACCGAAGCAGCTTAATGGTGGGCAATCAGGCCCTCTGATTTCACCGCATACAGATAGTCTTGGCGTTTTCTAAGACGAAGTAGTAGGAAACGATACTGAATCCCCGTCTCGAGGTTATCATTGCTATGATGTCAGCTGTCTAAGAGCATTAAATGCCACTTCTCAGAGGGCCATGCAGGGCCGCCGTCAGATGCGGCAATCGAGGAATTATGATCCGCTGTAGGTTTGCCTTTTCCGTTTCCTTAGCGGTTGCTATAAATGCATCGGTCGTTCGAGCTTTTCTATCCCCACAGTTTTTACCATCCCGCGAACTGGAATTCCGCTCCTTGATATCCTCCCCCTTTTGCAAAAGGATTTTCACCATTCTTCATGGCTAGAACTTCTAGGACGTTCCCTCGTCGGAACGACACCGCGTCGTCTTCCCGGCCACTCGAGGGGGACAACAGGTTGAGTCCTTCTTTGAGCATTGATACGTCAAAAGATTTTGACGTCGAGACTCCCTCGTCTACACCGGGTCGGTGTGAGCATGTTTCTCGATATGTCAGCATCGTGACCGATGTTAATAGCGTTAGGAAGGATTGTCGGTGGAGCGAGGCAGTGAAGGTGGAGATTCCTGGACCCGATGATAGCATTACCGACTTCAAGGATAGTTTTCTCCACGTATACACTTACCCATTTACACTGGGCCCTGATAAATCCGTAGAAGCCCCTACATTGGGAGTTGATTCGATTATCCTTGACTTCTGCGCCCGATACCAGGTGACTTTGGGCCAGATCTATCCATCCTTTTGGAGGATAGTGTTGATGCTTAGGCATTTTACCGAAGGGGTCACAAGCGAGGTTTTTACCCTAAACCATTTAATTACACTGTATCGCCCTCGGCTATATCGCGATTTGGTCAAGCTCCGCCACCGGTCCAAGAAATCCTCTTTTACAAGCGTTGATGAGAGGAAAGACCGAGGGTGGATGAGCAGGTTCATCCGAGTGAGAACCTCAGACATCATCCCGGCCTGGAGGATGCCCTTTACGGAGCGGTGGAACGCTCAGCGTAAGTGAATTTCCCTATTAACCGCTCCTTAACTCCCCTTTCATTTGTCATAATGGCTTTTTTGCGCTTTCTGCAGCCGTCGCCTGGTACCCAGAGGTGATCCCGGATTTGCCGGGATGGATAAGTCATTTGGATAGGAAGTTCCCGTACCATACTAGGTCTTGGACTGTCTTGGCTAAGGGACGTTGGGTGGCCAAGAATCATGGTGAGGCTCCGTCGTTGTCTGTGCTTCGTATTTTGTGTTTCCCCGAACCCTTAGCGGAATCGTATGATGATTTTTGCATTGGTACAGGTCTTGGCAAAAATATGCAGATGAGGCCACCCCCCGTCGGCGAAGTAAATGCCCTGGAGTCCGATACGAGTAGGAAAAGGAAAGGCATGGCAGCCGTCGCTCATTCCGACAAGACTGTTGCTCTAACTTCTGGGTCGAACCCTGACGTTGAAGGGGAGGACGATGAGGGGAGTCCGTTGAGGAGGAGATCAAGGCCCAGCGCGATGGATTTGCAGATGCCCCGATCGGAGGCTGCTGAGTTCGACACGGCTGGTTTTGGTCGAGCCGATCGGCAAAGGACCCTCGAAGGGAACGCTGATGCGGCCTCGACTCATACGGTCGGATCTGGCGCAGCCCTCGAGGGGAGAATTGTTGGAGCCGCATTGAGAGATTGGAGCTCGGGGCCATTCGGGAGAGCGGGTCGCTATATGGAGAAATTGGCTATTTGAACGATCTGATCTCGAACTATCCTATCTCTTCCGGGGAGCTGAGAGATGTCGAAAGGATGGTCGGTGCCAAAGCTGGGACTTCTCCCAAAAGGGGGAATTTTATTGCCGATATTTTTGACGGCGTAATCGACAAGGCCGACCTTGATATCCCCGGTGCTGTTAGTGCGGTAGAGAAGTCTCTGCAGCAGGTGATAGTCTTCCCTTGCATGTTTTTTTTCCGTTTTCAGGTATTTTCTCGGCGCCTTGTTTATCTTTCATCGTTATGTCGTAGTGTAAGGAGATGTACGATCACGCCATCCTTCGACTCCAGGGGGAGCTTTCTTGCCGTGAGAAGGAGCGTGTCAATCTTGCTTCGAAACTTCGGGACTGGGAGGTACGTTGTGCCCAGGGGGATAGAGAGTTGGGGGAGCTTTGAGGCGTTGTAGAGGTGGCGCTCCAGGAGAAAGCTGCTCTTGTTGCTCAGGTATTATGCCTCGTTCATACTCGTCCCTTTGCCCCGTATTCGCGCATATTCTGGATTCATATATTCATCAACCTGTACTTCCTCGCAGGTCGAGCAAAGTAGCTTGCGGATTTTTCGGCTGGAGACGGAGATTTCTGGGCTGAAAGAGCGAAATGAGGTTATGGCCGGGGAATTGGCGACATCTCGAGGTCTTCTTGCAGACACTTGTAGGGAGAACGTTGCCTTGGCTGCGACCAAATTTGAGGCCGAAAAAGATGTTGCTTCTTACAAGGAGGATGCGACCACGACGCATATGATGGTTCGTGATATGTCCATGGCAGCCGGCTAGAGACTAACTCGAGTATGCCAAAGCGAAGGCCAAGAGGGAAATTCTGGAACAACTCGAGACTAGAGGCTTCGAGCTGTCTGCCAATTTGGAGGAGGCTCGTGTGGTGGAAGAAAGACTGGTTCTCTTGAACATTCCCGATAGGGGTGAAGATGATAGCAGCGAGAAGTAGTCTCCTGGCCTCCCCCTTGCTTTATGTTCCCTTCTTGGGAAGCAAATAGTGTACAGACGTTTTTATCTTCTTGTTGACATGTATATACAAAAAAAAAGGTTTTTGTTCTGTCCGTTCTTCTTCTTGCTCCCTTATCTTTGCGTTCTGGTATCGGCCCTTCGGGACTCCGAGGCTGGCCGCATCCTGAAGCGGATTTGTTAATTTCTCCGAATCCGATTTTTGTGACGTCGGGGATCTCCCGAGGCTCTTTGAACTTACTAGTCATGCGGGCGCCTGGCATGATTCTGCCAATGCACTCCCCAAGGAGGAGGCGATGTTAATGTGGCCAGGATTAATTGGCCTCTTTGGACAACCAAGCGGCTGTCGTTCAGCCTTTATATATTTGCTCATCAGCCCTTCAAACGGTGATTTCGCAAATTTTGATAAGCCTATCTTTTCTGCAGAGCCTTTCGCTTTGCGCGAGTTCTTCCGCTCCCCCGGCTCAGAGAGTTCTTGCCAGGATCCTCATCTTCTTTGCCTTTGTCCTGCTGTAGTCATGGCCGCTTCCTCGGCCACTGATCCTCGGACGGAAAAGGCTCCCTGCTGCGCTCCGCCTTTGGTTGGTACCGACGGATCATTCCCGACATCGGGGGAACAAGATCCGGGTCGCCCT